GTTATATTGCATGTTAACCATAGATCTACCCATTTTATGCATCTTTTAGCCTTATTTCCCTTATTCATGAGGTTGTGCACGTAAAGTTGGAAACTTTACGTGGTAAATCAGCTTATTGGACTCAGATCTATCAATTGTATGTTTTGGATTCAAACAAAATCGAGTAAAAATCAGTTGCATGGCGGCAACTCGGCGAGTCGGGAAGAACGACTCGACGAGTTGGGTCGCGAGTTCCCGAGTCCTTCAGTTTTATCAGTGTCGAGTGGACGAGGTGAGTTAGGGAGTGGACTCAGCGAGTTGAGAGTAGACTCAGTGATGGAGGGACTCGGCAAGTTTGTTCATACAACTCGGCGAGTCCAAGGCAATCTTCTTAGGATCAAGAACAACTCGTCGAGTTTGTTCTTACGGCTCGGCGAGTCGGATGAAGATTGTCTGAGTTCTTGGATCAAGAGGGTACTCGTCGAGTCGATGCCACACTCGACGAGTAGCAGCGTGTAGAACTGAGAAGTGAGAGTAAGACTCGGCGAGTTGGGTGGCCCAACTCGGCGAGTCAGCCCAAAGAGAGTTGACTTTGACCAAGGGTAAAAGAGTCATTTTACCCCAAGTGCAGTGTTAGTATTTGATTGAGTGTGTTTATGGACTTGTAGCCGAGGAGATTCAGGAGCAGCAGCCGTTAGCTTCCCGAGCCACACACTCATCAGCCAGCTTACGAGGTGAGTTTCCTTCCAGTAGGGACGGGTCTAAGGCCACAATGCCGGCCCGTCCAGTTAGCAGTAGTTTCGGACTTCGGTCCGATGTAGTAGTTGGTATGTTTGATGCCTTCGTGGCTCAGACAGGATTTATGTGCTATGTGTTATATGTTATGTGTTCCGGGCTATGGCCCGATGCAGTATGCAGTATATGTGTTCATGCTAGTTGATATGCTATGCTATGTTCAGTCAGTTAGTTCCGGACTTCGGTCCGATGCAGGGGACGAGGTCCCAGATAGTTCCGGACTTCGGTCCGATGCAGTTAGTTCGGACTTCGGTCCGATGCAGTTAGTTCCGGACTTTGGTCCGATGCAGGGGACAAGGTCCCAGTCAGTTCCGGACTTCGGTCCGATGCAGTTTCCGGGTTTCGGCCCGATGAGTGGGCGGGGCCCAATATGTGTTTATATGTTATTGTATGGTATGTGGTATTTTGGGGGAGCTCACTAAGCTTCGTGCTTACAGTTTTAGTTTTGGTTTCAGGTACGTCTGCAAGTAAAGGGAAGAGCTCGGGGTGACAACATCGCACACATCACAGCTTAGCTTTTATCCTGGGGATGGTTTTAGTGTTTTGGATTTGATGTAGTATGATACAGTTTTTCGCACAATATTTTATTATGATTTGGGATACATCGCGTATGTTTTCTATTATGATACTCATATTACGGTTTTGATTATATTGAAAAACGAAAATTTTTGGGTCGTATTTTTGGGTCGTTTCAATTACTCATTATTACCAGTTAAACACATATACTTGTCAACAAACATTTTTAAAGACATTATGACAGAATGTATTTATACAAATAAATTCTGACAGAATACACTCAAATCATATTAATTTCTTCTATATGACAAAAAATACATCACAAAATGTTTTCACTTTTCCTATCTTGACAAAAGGAGATTAAAATCTAATTTTGTCAAAATAATAGACATCAAATTGCTTTCCATCTTAGGAAAGCACACTATCCATCAGCTATAAACAAACACTATCTGGACCTAAATGAATTTCCATGGTCATATGCTTGACTTTCTGATCCCAGGAGCTGATCAATGATGACAAATCGATGCTTACAGAAAGTTGATAGATCATTGTTGATCGATCTCGATGAATCGATAATCATGAATCGACGATTCAGGGCTTCAAATATCGCAATCGAAGGTGAACAGGAACATTGTCGATCTATAGGTTCGTAAATTCCTCACCAATGATCTGGATATGAAAGATTGTTGATTGGTAGCCGATGTTCATTATCGACGGACGTAGAGGTGGACCGATTGAGGGATGATGGAGACGAGAGAGAGAGAGAGAGAGAGAGAGAGAGATCTGATAATAAATGGTGATCTAGAGACGTATGTGTATGAGTCAATTTCTATAACCCTAAAATGCCCCTATTTCATTTAATTCTGATGCCCCCTCCCTTTATTTTTCCACTTATTTACAAAAATGCCACAATGCATCTTGACCATCTTTTTTTTAATCTAACGCTTAACTTTTAATTCTCAGGTTCTCGGGAAACTATGAGTTCTCAAATGATCATTCTTCTCTCTTTCTTTTATATATATATATATATATATATATATATATATATATATATATATATATATATATATATATATATATATATATATATATAAAACATTTCTAATTGTTTATAATCTAAGCAAAGGATGTCATCAGGTACCAGGTCAAGGTTCGTTGGTTGATAGGGTATATTTTTTATTAAAAGAATCAGGGATTTAATTCCATTATATAAATAATATCATTATCAGCGGAACAAACTTTGTTATTCGTTGCATAATAAACGTTTTCTGGTGATTTGTAGGATTAAAAATGATATAATAGAAACATGTTTCTATAGTTTTATGGACACAAATACCGTTTTTAGGATTAAATAAACTGAACATGTATAGTATCGGAATAAATTATTATATACATAAATATTAAATACCGTTTTCTTTTTGGACTAAATAACTTCCCTCGATTTGAGTAATAACTGTTTTGCCATTTTGTTTAAAGAGATTGGTAAATAAAAAACTATTGTTACTGTGAACACAATTATGCTTTTTAAAATTGATGTCAAAAAAGAATAATAAAATATGAATATAATAATTAATCCTAGTAGTTTTTGCTATCAAAACGTATTTGTGTTCAAATCTGATTTGGCACAGCTGCGAAAAAGTCTAGGTGCACGCAACTAAATCAACTATCTTACATACCAAGGGTGATATAGTCTTTCCATTTTTCTATTATAGATAATTGGAAGTGAATGTTTTGTATCTCTAGTATTACAACTAATAATATATTATATTACTTTTCACATGAAGGGTAAAATGGTCTTTCTAATATCGTACATGGCAATCTTTTCTTCCAAGTAAAGCTACAAGGCGCTCTCTCTGTCAAAGACATAAACAACTTAGTTGACAATTGTGTTTAATCATATTTTTTTGTGCATTATTGGCATTATAACGTTTTTTTAATTCTGTTAAAAATCTACATAGTATTTATTGTTATACACATACATACATATATAAATCATGAATTTGATGTTTAAAAGTTCAAACATCAAAAATACACATAAAATAAGTTGTAGATAGATTCAAATACATTAAAATAACATATAACCATACGTTTTAATGTTTTACATCAATCCATATATATTAAAAAAAAAATAAAGTATAATACCGAAACGAAACTTAGTTTTAGATAAATACAAACACATCAAAAAAAAATTATAACATTTACCATATGTTTTTATTTAGATAAAACTCAATATATTTGAAAAAAATACCAAAATTTATTATGTAAATGGTTCTTTTTCATGTGTTTTTATTTGGATTAACCGGTTTATTTTTGACTGGTCCATCCGGGTTTTTCTAAAAACCGGCCGGTTCAATCCGATTCAGAAATCGATGTAAAACTGGCGATGGTTGAACTGCTCCCTACCCCGGTTTCCGATCCAACCAGTTCGACTGGCCGGTTCAAACCGGATTTTAAAACATTGATATTCTCGTTATTAATGTTATACGCAGGGTCGGGCCTAAGGATGTGAGACCGCACATCATGACCTATGTCAGAACTCGGAAGGAGGCCCAAAATTTTAATCCGCCACACTTTTGTTACTAATCTATCGCTAATATGTCATTATCCGTCGCAAATATTTTCCGTTCCATTGCTAATGCAAACTTTTAAGGGTTTATTTTTAATTTTCGTACAAAAATCAACAGATCAACATGATCATATTACAAATAAATGCGCACACATATTACCTAATTTAGATGTTGCTTGACGTGCAATAACTAGTTAATATGATAGTTTATTTTTTTGAGTTTTGTTAAGTTGTCATATTTAACAAACAAAAAAGTAACTTATAAGTTAATTATTTTATTTATTTATTTATTTATTTTAAACTACTTAGACTAGTTTTTAAAAATTTCTAGAATATACCCTTAATTAATTATAAAACATTTTTCTAAATGTCATTTTATATATTACAGCTAGCTTATCAACTAGTTTTTATCAAAAAGAATTTTTTACTAAAACGTAATTTTTTATCAACTAGTTTTTTCATCTATCAGTTAACTTTTCAACTTGTATGTCAAATATAACATTAATGGTTTAATGGTTCTATCTTATTAATGGCAAAATATTAGTCATTAAACAATATATTACACAATGAAGCATGAAATTCGAACATGGAGCAAATTAAGTTGCAACGATTAGTTCCGATAGACAAAATTGCAAAAATAGTCCCTGTGGTATGCAAATCTTTGGGGTTTTAGCCCAAACCTCGAGTTTTTTTGAATTCATGATCGTTTTAGAGTGGTTTGTATATGAAAATAGTCCCTCTAAAAATTGAAATGACTATAATACCATTGGGGTATTTATTTTTCATTTTTCTTTCATTTTGTTAAAATTTAATATTTATTTTTTCATTTTAACAATTAAAAAAATAACAGAAGACCCACCTCTCTCTCTCTCTCTCTCTCTCTCTCGATTTGTGCATCGATTGTGCCAACTGTGCCCGTCGGAAATCGCCCCTCCACAATCCATCACTGTTACCGTCGTCCTCTATCTCTTCTTCTTTCTCCGATGACTTCGCCTCTGCAAACCCTACGTCGACGAACACAGCAACAAACCTGGCTCTGTTCGTCCATCTTTTCAGTTTGTCCTTCACCGTTCACCCATTTTCTTAGATCCGCGTCCCTCCCAAACAACGAGTTGAAGATTAGAGTGGTAGTGTTTTCGAGTTGCTAAGGTTTGCAGCATCTCGTTTTTCCTTTAGATCTCTGAGTAGACACATATACTCCATATGTGACTCGATGAAGGTGAAGCCAGAGAAACCTTTTCTCTTTACAGAGGTTCACCCATGACGACTTCCCCTCCTTCTTCTCCGACAACATCCTTTGCAAAAATCCTAATGCAACCGCTCTTCTAGGGTTATCTCCGATAACGTAATCCACCTGAGGCGGTGGGCGGAAGTTAAGTAATCGAAGTAGACAAAGAGGAAGAAAGAGGCAATGGTGGATTTCAAATTCATACACACACAAATCGATTTCAAAAACGAAAACATACACATACAAATCAATTTTTGGGGATGAACATACATAAATAGATTCCAGAACAAAACTTACACATGCATTCATACATAAATCGATTATAGATTGGATTTATGGGTTTTCTTTTGAGTTTTAGAGAAATATTTAGATTTATGAGCACGTGTTTGTTCTTGAGCTCTGTGTGCTCTTTAGCACTGTGTGTGTTTAGAATTAAAAACCAAAAAAAATCTAGAGAGATTGAGAGTATGTGTGTGTAAGGGTATTACCATGTGTGTTCAGAGAGAGAGAGAGAGAGAGAGAGAGAGAGAGAGAGAGAGAGAGAGAGAGAGAGAGGTGGATCCTCTTATTTTTCTAATTATTAAAATCAATAAATAATAATTAAACTCTTAAAAAATGAATTTAAAAATAGAAAATAAATATCCAAGGGCATTAAAGTCATTTCAGTTTACCGAGGGACCAAATGCGCAATGAAACTAGCTCAAAATGACCACCAATTCAAAAAATCGTTGTTCTGATTAAATCCCCCAAAAAAATACATACAACAAAGACAATTTTTGCAATTTTGTGGTTCCCATATAACAAACTTATGGGCTTTTGACATAAAAGTGATTAACTTTGACAACTTTTGTTGGTTTTGTCTATGTGATAATTTTTTTTCGTTAATCCCACAATTTGCCAAAATTTTGTTTTTGTTTTTGTTTTTTTACTGTTGTTACATGTTATAACATGCTTTCATGGATAAAAACATCAAAATTTAACGAATTTAAGTATTTTAATTTCAAATTTGAAAAACATACTTAGAGTAAAAAATATAGAGAAAATGACAAAAATAGCCAATTATACTAATTACATTAAAAAAATAGCCAAAAAAATCGAAATTGCAAAAATAGCCCTCAATTTCGCAGATGGAATTGCCCCATCTGCGAAATGACCATTCCATCTGCGAATGTACAAGCTGCTAAAGCTTGTACATCCGCAAGTGTTTTTTTTTTCCATGTATATATATTGAAAATGTAGGGTAAAATCGCAGATGGAATAGCCCATCTGCGGTTTACTCTCATTTCATTTGTGAAATTGTGATTTTTTTTTAGTTTGACTATGAAATCAATTGGTTTGACTACGAAATCATGTTGCTATATAAAAAGCTTTGTAGACACGCACGTAAGGTGCCAATACTTATGTTGATCGATTTTTTTCGTGCTACAATACAACAATGGTGGTTTCAAACATGTAACTTTGCAGATATTAATTTCATAGTCAAACTAAAAAAAATCACAATTTCGCAGATGGAATGAGAGTAAATCGCAGATTGGGTATTCCATCTGCGATTTTACCCTACATTTTCAATATATATACAGAAAAAAAAACCTGCGAATGTACAAGCTGCTAAGCACAGTTGTGCTTTAGCAGCTTGTACATTCGCAGATGAAATGGTCATTTCGCAGATGGGGCAATTCCATCTGCGAAATTGAGGGCAATTTTGGAATTTCGATTTTTTTGGCTATTTTTGTAATGTAATTAATATAACTGGCTATTTTTGTCATTTCTCAAAAATATATATAGATAAATTTAACAAATTTAAGGATTTGATACCCTTTTTTTTAAATAATTGGACGTTTTCTATTTTTTTTTATCCTTAATTAAGCAAACTAGCTACAAGGCTACAATGTACCACATATATATATATATATATATATATATATATATATATATATATATATATATATATATATATATATATATATATATATATATATACTTAACAAAACAAATTATGTTTACTCGTGGGCGGCGATATGGGTGGCGACAGGAGATGGAGAATCGCCGATGTCAGTTATGGAGCAGTACCGATGGTGGTAGTGGAGTATCGCACTAAGTGGATGAAGCATCGGTGGTCGATTGGTCAGGCAATGATCGATGAAGTAGAGACTGATCGGCGATGGAGAGGAGGAGCGTCGGTAGAAGGTTCGCCGCCACAGATGGAGCAATGACGGTGAAAGCTTGCCTCGTCTGAGATGGAGCAGCATCGACGATGTAAGAAGGCAAGGGAATGGAGATGGATTTAAAGCAAGGAATGACGGTGAATATGGTATTGTTTATGGCATTCGCGAGAAGACGATAGATAGATGATGAGTTAGGCTAGGTTAGCGTCGGGTGGAAGATTGAGGAAGACACGTTTATTTATTTAGGTTAAAAGTCAATACCATGGTTATAGGGATTATTTTTGGAAGTTAATAAACAAATTACTAAATTACCCTTATTTATTTATTTAATTATTTAATTTTTAATTTAATTTTGATTGGTCCACATTTAAGCATACAATAACACAATAATTACTTTATATACCTGAATCTAACTCTCTCTCTCTTTCTCTCTCTCTCTCTCTCTATATATATATATATATATATACACCCACACACACACACACTAGCCGTTTACCCATGCTAAGCGCCTGGTACGAAAACCGGTAAATTACTCTATTAAATTTATAAGGTTTAATTTGTTTTATAAAATAAAAAAATAACAAATATATTATCTATTTATTTAATAGATAAGATAACTTGCTTCCATTTGCAAAGGAGGGGATAGTTTAACATTTAATGAGTACCAAAGTAGTAATCAAGCAAAGTTACCATACAAACGTACAATTCATTATTTGATACACTTTCATAAAGTGACAAATACAATGCTTGACACACTTGATTTGGAAAATTACACCAACAATATATGTAAAATTAACAATAAACATACAAATAGTATGGTTTATAATCCAATTTATTGGTTCGTACGGAAACAAAAGTTTCTAATTTGTTAAAGACCTTACTAAGCAACCACCCCAAATGTCAATTTCAACTTTTGGACCTAATGCATAAGAGTTGTCATTCATTTCTTTAATAACACACAATTGGCAGGCATCTACATTAACTTTATGACCAAAACATAAGAATACATGAAGTAACAATTAATGAAATAAGAATAAATAAAAGTATGATGCTAGAATAACAAATCAATGAAAGTTAGTTGCTATATACAACACTATCATACCAGGTGGCTAGAAACTTAAAAAAAGTACATTGTGAGGAAATCATTTTTAAGAGAAAGTTAAAAGGAGAAGAAAGGTGGGGCTTAACAGAGGGCTAACCTGGTGCGATTGACCTGAACCCCTCTCTTTGTACCTTTGGCCTGTTGTATTAACATGTACCTACACTTGCATCCAATTTGTTTGGTCATCGAATAAAAGTTAATTTTTAACTTTTTAATTTATTTGAAATATCACTTATAAGGAAAAAATTGTCATTTTTTCACACATACATAGCAACACAATCACACACATTGAGGCACACACATAAATATATACATAAGTGTATGTGTGTGTATATGAATATGGTTATATGTGTATGTGTGTAATGCGATAGAAAGTACCTTGGTTTTAAATTAAGGTACATCAAAATGTAACCTCAGACGACAAACATAACCATTGTTCCACCAGCCCTACATTCGACTTACCACATAGGTTGGTTGTAAATGTGCACGGATCATCAACTTCACAGTCATCTCTTTCTATTTGTTTGACTTCCCCAATCAAACACCCAAATTTATTTATAGATCTAGCATTGTGAACTTCATACTCTGTAGGTAGTAGGTACATGGTACAGAGTGATCAAAATGCAAGTGAAATTACTGAAATACCTCAAATTGCAAGAACCGAACTACATACCAACAACACTAACTCACATCTTCCATCAACTTCATATTTTCTGTTTCGACTTTTGCTATATGAAAAATAACAAAATGTAGTTAGAATCCAATATAAAAATAGGAAAATATATACTAAATGCAAAAAAAGAAAGAACCCTAGATTGTGAATAGACAATTCAAGGCTCCATCATTCACTTTTAAGCGGAAATATTGGAAAATTGGGGAAATCTCAAAATCAAAACTTTTTACAGATATCGATTAATCCTTGTAGGTAAAGATCATAAAGCAAAAAAATATTGATACTTAGGGTTGAAATCATTGCTTACTTTGAATGTAAATTATTACTTTATAAATATGATGTTTAGGCACCAATAAAGTCGAACCTGGACACCCAAAAACCACCGCCTAGAGTGTTGTTTACCAAAACATCAACTGCCTTGAAAAAATTAACACTGACGTCACATAATCATCCAAACTTGAAAGTGTTGTTATACAAAATTTAAATTAGTCGAAAGATCACTCCAATGGAGAACATAGTTCTGATTAAGTATTAGATAAAAAGAACTATAACAAAATTAAGCCCCTAACAATAAAAAACTACTTGTGTTGGTAGCCGTCATGGACTCCAGCGGCTCAGGCAACCAAGAACACGATGATTACGCTTGAGATAAACTTTAAAAATTACCAAAAAAACATGAAATTATAGAAAAGTTTAGGGGATAAGAGGTGAAGAAATACATGATTGTACAATGTAACCTTTTATTTGTTTTAAATTGTCTCTCCCACCTAGAAGTATATTTTAAATATAAATTGGAGAAATACATCCTGCTAAACGATGGATTTAGATCTATGGTTTTAGTTAGTGTCGGTGAGAGATGGTGGTGTCTGTTGGTCGTATTATTTATCAGTGATGTTGGTGATGGTGGCTACAACAATAAATAATGATTTTGAAGATAGTGGCAAGGTGGTTGTGGAGGCACCTTTGGTTTGTAGAAGTCGACGACTTCTTAAGGGGTGATATTTATGGCATGAGATTGAGAGATGGAGGATAAATATACTTGGGGTTTTAGATACAAATAGATGGAATGGTTAGGGATTTTGATAAACAAAAGACGAAAGTAGTGGGGATCGCTACACTTCCTCGTTGCTAGATGGTAGCCATTGGTGGATGTGAAGGTTACTAACAGCAGCGATTAACAGTGGAGGTGGGAGTAGACGGTTACCATCATCTCAATCGAAATTCACCACCACAGTCGGACCTTCAACAAAATAGGAGACCATCGTGAACCATATTCGAACACATTCACTTGAGCCATAGATAGCCAGCTGTCCGAGAAGGGAGAATCGGTGGTAGTGGTGGTGTCGGGGGTTGGCAGTTGTAAAGGTTACCACTCTTCCGGATGAAGAGAGAGTTGAAAGTAACCAATTCAAATGGTTGAAAGTAAGGTTTGACCAATTCAAGTGGCTGAAAGTGAGGAATATTAATTCAAACGCAAACCATCCGTGGATTGTTATCTTGACTTTTTCAAATGTTGAACAAAATAAGATTTTTGATTTTTTAATGCATAAACTTATTGTACATATTGCATAATAGCTTATACCTCTTAAAATTCAGCCTTTAACCAAATTCACATAATCAGTTTTAAAGATATATATATATATATATATATATATATATATATATATATATATATATATATATATAGTTATTTTATTATGTAATTAACAATAATATTATGATTTATAATGAGGTTTCCTATAATCGGCGAAGCATAAAGAATATAAGAGTTTGTTTTCAAAAGATCTTATGATGCTAGCTTCTTTTTTACCTTTATTTTAAAGTCGTAATTCCTTCCCAGTTTCATAGTAAAAACTTGTTAATTAACAAGTATTGAGGGGTGTCAAGCCTTACAAATAAGGGGTATAAAAGTATCCTACAATTCAATGCTGAACTGCACTAAAATGAAGTATAGGACAAGTAGGGTCGAACCATAGAGACACAACCACAGCGACACAAGATAATTGTTTATATCTTTTTGTGTAAGGTAATTTGGCCACAAGAGGATGGACGGTATTGAGAAATGTAAAAAAACAATAAAATACAAAAAAATGTAGAAAATTAAGTAAATTGTAAACAATGGGTTGAAACAGCTCTACTTTCAGTTCTTAATGTTGTCATTTAACTAGATTATGCCTTGATGCAATTTATAATTACTATTCAATGTTGATAGTGGAAGATATTAACACATTCTAATACCTTTTGCTTGTTAAATTATTTAACCAAAACACGCTCTTTGATTAAATCTAACTTTAATATTTACCAAAAGGCTTTTGACCTAGCGGTATCAAAAGTTGACGGATAAATGGCTCTCAGCCAAAGGTGGAGGGTTCAAGTCTCGCTTGAGTCGAAAGATGTAGAATATGAGTAGTGTAGTTGGTGCATGTGTAGTCTTTCTTTAATGTGAGAACGTGAAAACACTACTTTATGTTATTATTCTACTATGAATTTAATATGTATAGTATTGTAGTAATTATAATGTGAATGTTATATATATATATATATATATATATATATATATATATATATATTACATATATAGTTATTTTATTATATAATTAACAATATTATTATGATTTATAATGTGGTTTCTTATAATTGGCAAATCATAAAGAATATAAGAGTTCTGTTTTCAAAAGATCTTATCATGTTAGCTTCTTTTTTACCTTTATTTTAAAGTCGTAATTCCTTTCCTGTTTCACAGTAAAAACTTGTCAATTAACAAGTATTGAGGGCTCTCAAGCCTTACAAATCAGGGGTATAAAAGTATCCTACAATTCAATGTTGAACTACACTAAAACGAAGTATAGGACAAGCAGGGTCGAACCATATAGACTTAACCACAGAGACACAAGACAATTGTTTATATCTTTTTGTGTAAGGTACTCTGGTCACAAGAGGATGGACGATATTGAGAAATGTAAAAAAAAACAATAAAATACAAAAAAATGTTGAAAATTAAGTAAATTGTAAACAATGGGTTGAAATAGTTCTACTTTCAGTTCTTAATGTTTTCATTTAACTAGATTATGCCTTGATGCAATTTATAATTACTATTCAATGTTGATAGTGGAAGATATTAACACACTCTAATACATTTTGCTTGTCAAATTATTTAACCAAAACACGCTCATTGATTAAATCTAACTTTACTACTTACCAATGGGACTTTGACCTAGCGGTATCAAAAGTTGATGGATAGATGCCCCTTAGCCAAAGGTTGAGGGTTCAAGTCTCGATTGAGACGAAAGATGTAGAATATGAGTAGTG